CTACCCTCAGAGTGAACTGGGCAGTGATAGAGAGAAAGACAGTCAGAGGACACCTGCTGGGGTACAAGGTACTGATCCTGTTATCCTTTGTTGTTGGCCTAACTTAGGCTGGAGCCACACGGGAACGGTAACGCAAACGAACCGAAATCGTTCCGCCACAAAATACACCAAAAGCAGCGAAGAAGACTTCCAAACATGGTTTCCATGGTTGCCCTTCTGTTTATTCTCCGCGGTGGATTTAGCAGCAGAGGTGGGGAGAGGCAGGGCTCTTTTTCTCCGTCAGCAGCAGCTGATCTCTGATCTCTCTCTCCTGTCCGATTAGACTTCACTCGCGTTTATGTCCATATCGATCAGATCGAGCTAGTTCTAGCTAATGATATGACTGCTTGAGTGTCAAAGGACACCTAAACAATAAGCGACATTTTGACCGGAGAATTTTAGATTTCGGCTAACGGAAACTCTGCCGTGCGGGGGGGGTCTGCTGGAGGCACCTGCTGGGTGCACTGTCCTGCGAGATACCGGGACCTGGCTCGAAACACTCGGAAAACTGTTGTTGTTGTTGTTGGCGAAACACATCAGCAATGACCCGGGTGACACGGGGGTGAGCAGGAGAGGTGGGGAGAGGCGGGGCTATTGCGTCATCCTTATCAGAAAATGATCGTATAGGGCGTACACACGGAGCCGTTTGGCCACCCAGAGCGTTTCGTCCGCAGATCTATCCACCTTGGGACCCGTTATCGTTATCTGCGTTTCCCTGTCGGCCTCGTGTGGCCGAACCGTCTATCTGATAGAGAACTGTAGCGGATACGACCGTTACCGTTCTCGTGTGGCTCCAGCCTTATTCAGCCTGTCCTCATGAATAATGCATATGTTGGATTTACAGCGGAGGAAGCCAGATCTTAGCCTGGCTTCAGAGTTCTCTTTGTGACAAGAAGAGCCTTTTTATTTTTATTTGAGATGATATCACTTTCAGGATGTATCCCGCTCTGGTCCCACTTCCTCCCTTTATCTCTTTTGGGTTATTAATGGATCAGCCATTGAACATTTTTGCCATACTTTATCCTATTTAAATCCCTTTAGAAAACACAGTTTTATTGTCATAAGAAAATAACAACAATGAATTCTGGCATTTGTTGGATGAAAATATGTTACGTTATATATATATATATTAAGCTGTGGTCGGGGACATTATAAAGAGAGTAACAAATCTGAATTTCAGTGATTTTTTTTTGATATTTTCTGAGATAAGAAAATCATCTGGGCTAAATTCTTTCAACTACAATGGCCCTGACACACTGTCATAGAATGACTCTTGATATGAAATCAATACATTTCCGGAAAAATTGTTTAAACATTCAAATTCCCAAACCCATGACTTTCCTTTTTAACAATTGTATCATAACTGATTTTGTTGCGCCAGGTTTACGTGACTAGAACCGGCTCCAGGGGCCACCACCGAGGGCCGGAGAGCCCCGTGGTGGTGGAGACCGCAGAGGAGAAGAAGAAGCTGATCAGTGATCTCAGACCGTACTCCCACTACGACCTGGCTGTCGCTGTGTTCAACAGCAAGGGAGAGGGACCCCCCTCTGAGACGCTGTCCTTCAACACTAACGAAGGAGGTGAGAATGAGAAAGAGGGATGAAGGGATAGATATTATTGAGCTTGCACTTGTTGGAGGAAATAGTTGACAGGAGATCAAAACAGTATTATAATTCCTTTTAAGCCATGTGCATTTTAATGAGGACTGTGTTGTGGCAATTTAGCACTCACAACAAGAAAGAATGAAACAGAGAGGAATCAATAAAACATAAACACAGATATAGTTGATCAATTATTATTTTGTTGGGCAACAATCAAATAATAACGAGGAAACATTACCTGCTCTCAAGCAGTCATACAGCAATGCTCCAACCCAGTCGAATTTTACAGAGACATATATACAGTAGGACTTCTAAAATGACGCACACACATTTCCTTTACATTAACTAACACACAACATCACATGTTTTTCCCTCTGAATGCCACACTTGTATATCAGAAGGTCATCATCTCATGACGTCTTTAGGAGTAGTTAACTAAGAAAGACTTAACTGTTTTTATAACCTGATGCCTTTTCTGTACTTTTTCTGAACTTGGCATCAGCTCACTTAGGAAACTGAAACTCAATATCACACATGATATAGCTTACCATGTGATGAGGCATAAGACTGACATAACAGCTGTTTGTGTTCCTGCTAGTTCCCGGTCCTCCTATGTCCCTGATGCTGGACAGCCAATCAGAGACAGAAATGACCCTCCGCTGGACGCCACCTGACCATCCCAATGGAGTCCTCAATGGATATGCCCTGCAGTACCAACTGAGTGAGCATTGTTACCCCTATTCTACAAATATCAGGCTACGGCTGCACGATATATCGTGTCGTGGCGATAATCGCGATATGCGCATTCACATCGCAGGATGTGCGATTTTATTAATTTATTTTTATTTTTTATTTGTTTAGGACGTGTGCGATATTAAGTAGGCAAATTAACTCAAACCAATCACCAATCACAATCAAATCTCCAAAGCAAACGGACACGGTGATCAAAGGTAAAAACACTGAATAAAGTAGTTTCATGTGTTTCTCCAAGGCAGTTCGGCGCTGCTAACCGAGCTAGCTCAGCTTGTTGCTCTGATAACTTATATTCATCCGGTTAAATATAGTTAGAAAAAATACCAATTGTATAGCATTAAAGTTCAAGAAAGGATGGTTTGCGGACAACAAAACGGTCTTTTTCTTCAATTCCTGTATTTTTTCATATTGCAATATATATCGCAGGGGGAAAAAAATCGCAATGTCAGTTTTTCCAATATCGTGCAGCCCTATATCAGGCACATCAATTCTCCTGTTTAATATGTGGTTTATGCTGCATCAAAGACACCAAGACCGTCAGCAGTGTGACTGACACAAACCAATACTTTTCAAATCAATAATGCTAGAAACATGTCAAAGCATAGCCTCCTAATGATGCTCATCAGTCAGACAATGTGTCACCAATAACGAACCATGTTGAAGATCAAGTTGTGATTGAATGTTTTTTCTGCTGTCGGTGATCAGTTGTGGAGAGTGAGGACAGCCCCCTGCAGTTAGAGGCAATAGACGACCCCACAGCCACTCACTTCACCCTGAAGGGCCTGGACCGCCACAGCCACTACCGTTTCTTTCCTGAAGGGGCGCACTGCTTTAGGGGATGGAGAGGCCATCATGAGGGAGGGTGCCACCACGCTGGATGGAGGTACAAACCCGATTAACACAAGACCAAATTAGAGTAAAGAAATACAGTCCTTCTGGACAAAAAGTGAGAGAATCTTTTTTCCTGAAACTTTCAGAATCTCTTTACACAGAGGGGACACATGTTTATGTATAAAAGACATGAAGAAGTGGATTTTACATAATAGGCGACCTTTAAAGTGTGATCCCAGGCAACATGCTAGCAGTAAATAGGGGGCATCATTACACCTCCAATACTTGGTCTGAATGATCAAGCATCAGTTATGTTTTTATTTAATGGTGTATATTTTTGTTTCTTGTACATATTTTTTTTAATATAAATATGTTTTATCCTATTGCAGCTATATTAATTATATTATTTTTCCTCCAGCCCTGAAGCCTCATCACCACCAGACCTGAAAGAGGACTCAGAGCAGCTGCCATCAACGTCACATTATAACACAAGTTACAATCCAAACTCATCAGCAGGTCATGATAAACAATCCTCAGTCAAATCATCCGGACGTTCACATGTATCATCAGAAAACAGCAGGTCTAAATCAGTTCTTAATCAAATGTAAATCCTCAGAGTCAGGCCGTTGTGTCCTTGGGCAAGACACTTCACCCGAATTTGCTCCTGTGGGTATTGTCCACAGTACATGTATGATATTAATGTGTACTTGTAAAGCACCTCGATGACTTTGAGGTGTGAAGATGGGCGGTGTGGCGCAGTGGGCTGATCAGATCAAGGGGGCGAAACCCGCCACCGCTGCGTCTGTAAAGCCGTTGTGTCCTTGGGCAAGACACTTCACCTGAATTTGCTTCTGTGGGTATTGTCCAAAGTACATGACCATTACATGTATGTCTGATATGTATGTGTAATGTGTATCTGTAAAGTGCTTTGGGTCATGGCGAAAAAGCGCTATAATAAATATAAGGAATTATTATTATTTTTAAAATATCCTGGGTATAGTGAGACACATTGAAGCAGAGACATTTTAGAAAAGATGCCACTACTCTGGGATCTGAATCTAACACTGAATACTTCATTTGTAACTCTATTCTTATACATTTTCTATTTTTAAAGTCCTCTGCAAAATGTCTGCACCTGTTCTTGCTCAAATAAACCACCTGTGTCAGTTGTCATTCATGGTGCTATATTATGCTAATATTCTGTATGCTTTGTTTCACTGATGTAAGGCTGATGTATCTTTGGCTCAGGTAGCACAAAAAAATGGTATGATGTTGGATGATACAAAAACTGTTGTTAATGTAAATGTAGTTCAATTGTTCAAATGGCATGTTCTCAATACCATGACAGTTTTTTTTCTCTCAGAAATTAACAAAAACAAGCACAAGTGGTCACTCAGGAATTAAGGTGTACAATTGTTGGGCTTTTTAACTTTTGCACAATTTAATTAATTCTTTGTCAATTTCATATTAAGAAAAGCAATAAATACGGCGGACATTTTGAGGAAGCGTCATTTGTGTATGAATTATTTTGCTGTATAATCAAATTATTAATTCCAAATTCTGTTTTTTTGTTTTCAAATTCAAGGCTACATTTGATATTATCATTATGTTATGACCGGAATTTGTTGATGATGACAAGTCAACCAATACAGAAAAGCATCCCAAAATGTTTGAACTACAGTGCAGGAAAATAAAATTAGCAGAGTCTCTTCTAGCTGCTCTAGTTCTATAGTGGGACCAGCTCGATGACGTCATTATAAACAAACATGGCGGACCCTTGTCGGCTTTGCATCTAGCTCTTATGACATATTTATCTAAAACCGTCCTCTTCGTTAACTAGTGTGTACTTTATAACAGATGGAACCCACTTATCTCTTTAGGACCAGTTGGACTAATGTGTCGCGGCACCAATAGCTGTTTAAAACGGACAACAGGTGATGAAATGTGACGTTTTATCAGAGCCAGTTTAGCTTGTAGGTTACCAAGGCAACGTTAGGAACAACAGTTAGATAGCCGTTTGACTGTATTTACTAAATGTGCTGTTTCTTTAGAGGATCGATTCTTTCAGATATCTTAAATGCCGAATCAAAGTACAAAGTGATAATGTTTGAGCTGGACAGTTTTAATAGACACAGTTATATCAAGATGTGTGCAGTGACAGCAGAGGAGGGAGAAGTACTTGTACTTGAGTATAAGTATTCTGATCTTGTACTCAGATGAAGTAACAGAGTGTAGGAATACTCTGTTACAGTAAAAGTCCTGAATTCAAAATGTTCCTAATATAAGTAAGTAAAAGTAGAAAAGTATTAGCATCAAAATATACTGAAAGTATCAAAAGTAAAAGTAGTCATTGTGCAGATTGGTCCATTTCAGAATAATATATATGATATGTTTTATAATGATTGATCATGAAAGTGTTCTCAAAGCTGGTAAAGGTGCAGCTAGTTTGAATGACTTTGTATACTGCAGGGTAGCTTGTGAATTTACTCCAGGTGGAACTAAAGTCTGATTCAACACTTGAATATATTTCACATCATTAATCCACATCTGTAAAGTAACTAAAGGGATTAAATACATGTAGTGGAGTAAAAGTACACCATTTACCTCTGAACTGTAGTGGAGTAGTAGAACAAAGTATCAGAAAATGTATATACTCGGGTAAAGTACTTCTGTCTCTAAATTGTAAGTACAGTACTTGAGTAAATGTACTTATCTACTTTACACCACTGCGTGACAGGAAGACATGGAGCAGTACAGTATTCTGGGTCGGATCGGAGAAGGAGCTCACGGCATCGTCTTCAAGGCAAAGCACATCGAGGTAAACAACTGGTCAACAACACAAACAATTAGTGTTGTTTACAGCTTTATCACTTAATCAATTGGTTGATTTGATGCAAGACAGAACATTTTATTTTCCAAAACTATCTTTACTGTTAGTTTTGGACTGATTGTCAGACAAAACAAGACATTTTAATATGTTAAACTTGGGGAAGATATACCTGGACACTTTAAAAAAAAAAATTCACTTGTTTTGAATCAGAGAAAAGAGGGATTTTATTGTTATCCATCTGTGTACAGTCCAAAAAAAAGAGAAACAGAAATGTGTTTTCCTAGTTCTCGTTAAAAATATAAATGTAGCCTGTTTCTTGAAATCAGACACAACTTCATGTTACTCTCCGACCAATTGAATGAACACACAGACTGACCCCTGGTGTCAGAAAATAATACTTACATCCTGAAGGGAAGAGGACCATATAGCAGTTACTAAATCTGTGCATATTACTCTCAGTTATTTTCTTTATTGATTGTGAAAGTACAGATTTGTGTGTTTTGTGTCAGACAGGAGAGACGGTGGCCCTAAAGAAAGTGGCTCTGAGGCGGCTGGAGGACGGCATCCCAAACCAGGCTCTGAGGGAGATCAAGGCTCTGCAGGAGATCGAGGACAATGAGCATGTGAGCTAGTCACAGGACGCCATCTTACCCTCTCATTATTCCTGTGACCTTCACAGTGACATCCTATCGTTAACATACAGAATAAGAGGTGGACGGTAGCCATAAGACAGCAGTACTTTTAAATCTCATCAAAGTTTTTTTATTTATTTTTGTATTAATCAATTTATTGAACATGTCGGAAACATTTTTTATAATAATAATTATAACAAAGAGATGCAAAAAAACAAAAAAACGTTCAAGGTGCAAACAAATTAAAATAAATACATTCTCAAATAGTCTCTGTCATGTTCAACAGGGGCAAGAAGAAGCTTAAAAAAACTTTTCTGGTCCTCCCCCCTCTAGCGTACATTTTTCTCGAAAATAAAAGATTAGGTCATTGTCATCAGCGTCTAGTTCGTCAAACAAATACTTTTTAGAAAATAAATAACTTTTACAATGACAAGAAATAACAAGTATGAGTTCACAGGTCCTTCTCATAACCATTAATGATTTGGTTTCTAAATACTAGTTTTAGTTTTGATAAACTTGTACAATATTTCAGCTCATCATTACTGCTATTCCACAACCTTTTGTTGTGATGCACTGAAGTTTTGAATTTGTTCGTATGGAAGGTTTTTCCCACTCTCCTCCTCCTCCTCTTCCTCAGGTGGTGAAGCTGAAGGACGTCTTCCCTCACGGTACAGGGCTTCGTCCTGGTGTTTGACTTCATGCTCTCAGACCTGTCCGAGGTCATCAGAACTCTCAGCGACACCTCTGACCCCGGCACAGGTCAAAGGTTACATGATGATGCTGCTGAAGGGCGTGGCCTTCCTGCATCACAACAACATCATGCACCGGGTGAGAGGAGGGTACGGGGATGGAGGAAAGGAAGATTCATTTTTCATTTTGACCCGAGTTTTGGTTTTTGAAGCCCCTCAGAATAAAAACCCAGACAATAGCTCTTACTGACGGTGTGTGTGTGTGTGTGGTGTGTGTGTGTGTGTGTGTGTGTGTGTGTGGTGTGTGTGTGTGGTGTGTGTGTGTGTGTGTGTGTGTGTGTGTGTTGTGTGTGTGTGTGTGTGTGTGTGTGTGTGTGTGTGTGTGTGTGGGTGTGTGTGTGTGTGTGTGTGTGTGTGTGTGTGTGTGTGTAGGATCTGAAGCCAGCGAACCTCCTCATCAGTTCTTCAGGTCATCTGAAGATCGCAGACTTTGGTTTGGCCAGATTGTTCAGTGATCTGGGAGACAGACTGTACAGCCATCAGGTGGCCACCAGGTACCACACACACATTTTTATTTATTATTAGATACTTTTTTTAGGCAACATTTATATGTTTTATGGGGTGTAAGCTGGGAGGTATTGTTGCAAACGTCCCACACTAACACAATATTTAGTTTATTACAAATACACACACACAACATCTGAAACGGGTAAAACCAGCTTTACATTGTCATTTTTGGATGTAGTCCGTGTCACTTCCATAAGAAAGCTACATGTAAAATGTGTAATAATGCAGTATTTAATATTTGTGGTGTTCAGGTGGTACAGAGCTCCTGAGCTGCTGTACGGAGCCAGAAAGTACGACGAGGGAGTCGATCTGTGGTGAGAAAACTACTGAAAATACTGAAAAAAACCCTGAATACCTGCTACATAAACATAATAAATACACATATTAAATGAAAAAAGTAACACAAATTGAATGATGCAGTGCACTACCGCAGAGCTCAGCAGCAGGTGGAGCTATTGACACATGCAGAAGAAGGGAATACATTCGAAGAAATCTTACTTCCTGTAGTCCTTCAGAATAAAAGCCCTGTGTGTGTGTGGGTGTGTGTGTGTGTGTGTGGTGTGTGTGTGTGTGGTGTGTGTGTGTGGGTGTGTGTGTGTGTGTGTGTGTGTGTGTGTGTGTGTGTGGTGTGTGTGTGGTGTGTGTGTGTGTGTGTGTGTGTGTGTGTGTGTGTGTGTGTGTGTGTGTGTGTGTGTGTGTGTGTGTGTCCTGTCTGTCTGTCTGTCTGTCTGTCTGTCTGTCTGTCTGTCTGTCTGTCTGTCTGTCTGTCTGTCTGTCTGTCTGTCTGTCTGTCTGTCTGTCTGTCTGTCTGTCTGTCTGTCTGTCTGTCTGTCTGTCTGTCTGTGTGTGTGTGTGTGTGTGTGTGTGTGTGTGTGTGTGTGTGTGTGTGTGTGTGTGCATTTCAGGGCGGTGGGCTGTATTTTCGGGGAGCTGCTGAATGCGTCTCCTCTGTTTCCGGGAGAGAACGACATCGAGCAGCTGTGTTGTGTCCTCAGAGTCCTGGGAACACCGACTCAGGACAGCTGGCCTGTAAGATCCATAATCAGCAGACACGAGGCCTCATAAATCCATACATATACATCTAAACTGACATAGACATTTAGGTGGTAACATAACATATGAAATGTTCATAAGTTTAACTATAGTTAAAGTGACATCTGACAATATAATTGTTGCTCTCTGCAAACCGTGCCATGGAGACACAGAATAAATATCCTTCTGTTCATCGATTTCAGATGACCAAGTTACTTCAGATCAATATACAGTACATATCAATGTTATATGCAATCAGTTGTGCTCAAATGTAATGATGCAAACTTCAGTCACCATTGGTCAAGTCCGTTCAGTTTTTTAATTACATCTAATTTAAGTTAAATATGTACTTCTGTGACAACATCATTGTTTGATGCTCTCTGTGTTTTGCGTCTCTCTCCAGGAGATCGTGGAGCTGCCAGATTACAATAAAATCACCTTTAAGGAGAATCCACCGATCCCATTGGAGGAGATCGTCCCCGACACGTCTCCTCAGGCCGTCGACCTGCTCAACAAGTTCCTGGTTTATCCGTCCAAACAGCGCTGCTCCGCCAGAAAGGTAGGAAACAGGAAGTGACGTGTATTAGATACAGAAGATGGAGTTCCTCAGGACTCCCCATTAGGTCCCATTCCCTTTCCGGTGTAAATGTATTCACATTTTAGTCCAGAAACAAATTCATTCTATAACTTCACTGTTTACGGACCCTTTGTCATAATACTGTGTTGGTACTGCATTTCGCCCACTCTTGAATTGCATTGTGGGAAAAGTAGAATGCAGGATATCTCCCCCTTTGATGCTCATATTTGGACCAATCTGTTTTTGATCTGTTCAAGGAACTGGACAGCAGGCAGATTGATGAGTTTGATTAGTTGATTAATTGATTGGTTAATTGATTGGTGGTCCTCCTCTGCAGGCTCTCCTCCATCCGTACTTCTTCTCCTCTCCTCTTCCTGCTCACCACTCAGAGCTGCCCATCCCTCAGAGGGGGGGTCGACCCCCCCCGCCAGCGGCTGCAGGCTCCGCCCCCTGACTTCTCTGTGGACCTGCCCCTGCAGAACAGCGTGGTAGACCCTGCGCTGCTGCAGGGACACGCTTCCTGTCTCTGAACGACCAATCAGATTCCTCTCACATTGTATTTTTATTTATTTTTGTTGTGTTTCATTGACGTGATTTGTTGATGAGCCTGTACATATCATTGTTCTTTCATCACATTTCCTGTTGCTCTTCACTCAAACTTTCATAAAGTATTTCTGCGGTGAATAAAACAAGATTATAATATAATACATGAACGTGTGAAAGAGACTTTTATTAACTCTACAAGGACGTATCATTACTATGGAAGTCCTCTCTGTTGCTGTTAAGCAGGCGTTGACACAAAGGTCATGTTACAAAATAAGACTTATAATTTCTGAACAAAAATGTACTGTGAATATTTTTACATGCAGCTGATGTTGAAGCACACACACACACACACACACACACACACACACACACACACACACACACACACACACACACACACACACACGCCGTCAGTCCGAGCTGTTGTCTGGGTTTTTATTCTGAGGGGCTTCAAAAACCAAAACTCGGGTCAAAATGAAAAATAAATCTTCCTTTCCTCCATCCCCGTACCCTCCTCTCACCCGGTGCATGATGTTGTTGTGATGCAGGAAGGCCACGCCCTTCAGCAGCATCATCATGTAACCTTTGACCTGCGCCGGGGTCAGAGGTCGCTGAGAGTTCCTGATGACCTCGGACAGGTCTGAGAGCATGAAGTCAAACACCAGGACGAAGCCCGTACCGTGAGGGAAGACGTCCTTCAGCTTCACCACACAACAGTAATGATGAGATGAAATATTGACACTTTAATATCTTATTCAATCTCATTTGTAAGGTTCCTTAAGCCTTTTTATTCTGAACCACCAGACAGAGAGTGTAGAAGAGACAAAGCAATGATAACAGCAACAATACAAACAACGGTAACCATGTGGAAATGTATTGGTGATACAATGCAAAGCCACACCTCACAAAAGAAAATGTAATTTACAGGTCCCTATAATTAAATGCAAGAACAACAAATAGTTGCCAAACATGAACAGCTCCATGCTACAAGCTACAAGTATTGCAGACATTTTTTTTGTTGAAATATTGCATCATTAATAATGCTATACTTTGTTCAAGTTGGCACCATATATATTTACTTTTTAATACAAAAGTGCTATATTAACTATGCGATATAGATACTGATTGCTGATATTTCTCTTTGCACAGGAGTAGAACAAGCACAACGTAGCAGAAGATAGAAATACTCAAGTAAAATACCCTGATAGTTATACTTCAGTATTCGGGTTTTTGGTCAAATGCTTAAAATAAATGAAAAAAGGTGCCTTTTGTGTCATTTGTCAAGAAATTGAAAAAGGAACTTGACGCAAACTGTGCCCCCTCCCTCACTTCCTGTTTCTCCCTCAGAGCATCAGTCAAAGTTTACCGGAGACAAATAAGCTCCTGCAGCTCTGTGAGTATCAGCACCGCTCTCATATCAGCCGTCTGTTCTATCTTTTATTTCATTTGGACCTTTTTGTTTTAACTTTAAGTTGTATCTTTTTTCTCTGTGCTATGAAGGTCATTATTTGTTTGTCCTTTATCTTGTTTTTTTAATTAATTATCTCTTTGTTTTAAACTTTTTAAAATCATGTATTTGTTGTCTTTTACCACTTATTTTATTATTTTCATTTTATTTTTTTCTCTGTCCCTCTTATATTTGTGTCACTTCTCATTACACACAGTTTGATTTACATATGTTTCTGATAATTGTTTAGAGCTCTCACTCCGTCTCTCATTTCTCCACACAGTGACGATGTCAGATTATTTGCAGCTCTCTGATTGGTCCCCGACTGTTATAACAACTTCGTACGAAACATCAATGTTCAACACAAAGGTCAGAATCACTTCTAACACTCACTCTGGTTCATACTGAGCCCCTGTATGGACATTTAAGTGCTTTGGACCAAACCTCCTCTTGTTCAAATGCACTTCATTTTTACTTAATGTTACCAACCAAACCTGCTTACCAGTTTAACCCGTGTTTCTATCAGATTTGAGGGGGTTTTGAGCTCATAGTTTAAGTCAGTTTTACCGAGGGAAAGACTTAACATAGACAGCAAAGATAAACACAAATCAACAATGCTTTAATGAAGTGAGAAACAAAGGAAAGGTATATATTTATATATATATATATATATATAGGGAAGCGTGTGGCGCAGTGGACTAGTGCGGTGGTGTTGGGATCAGGTTCAAACCCCACTGCAGTCAGCATGTCGTTGTGTCCCTGGGCAAGACACTTCACCCCAAATTGCTCCTGTGGGGATTGTCCTCAGTATTGAGTGTGTAAGTCGCTTTGGATAAAAGCGTCTAACAAGTGACATGTAATGTAATAATATTTTATTAGAAACAGAAAACTATGGATGTTTTTACCTAAAAATTCAGAGGAGCTAGGGGACTGTCTTTAACTCATGAGTTGTGTCTGTTTATTGACTTAATTTTGTTCACACTTCTCTTACTATAGTTAAGACTTATCAACAAGTTTATTATGAATTTTGGACCTCCAAGGCTGCCATAGTTGTTTAAACCTGCTAGAGGGGACATCTGATAGAGAACAAAAAAGCTTATTCTGCTCCCATACAGGTATGTATTCCGTTCCTAATGCATATAAATCTGTTTCTTGCAGGTTAGCCCCGCCCCTTCACACACCTTCCTCCAATCACCAAGCATCTCCCATGAGGCGGAGCGGCACAACTTCATGAACTTGTTGGACGACTCCAGCTGTCAATCACTCAGCTCTGCTTATTCCTCTTTATATGGTCATCCTGCTGTGACTCCACCCCCTACACCTGGATGGAACGGTTACTATGGCAACTGTTACCCCTCGCCATCCTCCTTCTCTAATGATTGGTCGTTACCTGAAAGTCTGTCGTGGGGGCGGGGCCAAGCACCAGGTGAGCAATACACCTGTCTGACCTGCACCTGTCTGTGTGTTTGACACAGGATATTCATGTTCTTGGGGTGTGTGTGTGTGTGTGTGTGTGTGTGTGTGTGTGTGTGTGTGTGTGTGTGTGTGTGTGTGTGTGTGTGTGTGTGTGTGTGTGTGTTCAGAGCAGAGAGTGTGTGTGAGCTGTGGGACGAGCTGCGCCCCCCTGTGGAGACGAGACGCTGCAGGTCGTCACCTGTGCAACACCTGCGGCCTCCGACAGACACCCAACAACAAACCACTGCTGAGGCCGAAGAGGAGAGCTGTGAGAGACACACACACACACACACACACACACACACACACACACACACACACCACACACACACACACACATACACACACACACACACACACACACACACACACATCACACGTATAACACACTCACATCTGTATGTTGTTGATTGAATAGGTGTAAAAAGGAGACATCGGGGTTTTAGCATCATTTAGCTTTGGCGCTGTTTGTCTTTGTGCTAAGCTATGCTAACCAAATGCTCGATTTATCTCTTTACTTCAAACTAAAAAGGACACCTCTGCATATCCTCGCACAGAGTTTAAAGTTATTTGGAGATAACAGAGAACTGATGTGATTTATGAAAATGTTTTGATACACATTTGCTTATTTAAATATAGTATATACTTACATTTGTTTCAGATTATGACTCAGAGAAAAGGAACTCAGTGTGTGAACTGTTTGACTGAAACTACAACGCTGTGGCGGAGGAACTCTGCAGGAGAGCCGGTGTGCAACGCCTGCGGCCTTTACTACAAACTACACCAGGTACTACAAACTACACATCACACCTGCTAAGCTAACAGCAGCTAATGTTCAGCACCACTGCTGTTCCTAACAAGCCTAACATTTAACTTCTAGCATCTGCATTTACGCTTTAAAAATCATAACGTGGTGTCTATATATTGAGATTATCCTGCTAACTTTGTCATTTCAGGTCAACAGGCCGCTGGCGATGAAGAAAGACGGAATCCAAACCAGAAACCGTAAAGTGACCAATAAGAAAAGGGGAGCAGGAAATTCGACCAATCAGATACTAGGCTGCCCTTTCTGGTCCCGCCCACCACCATAGACCACCATCACCATTCAAACAGCTGCCCTCTGACCTCGTCCTGACTGAGTTTCTGAATGTGACTTTCTGCATTGTTTACTTTGAACAAGTTAAATGTTTTGAATAAACCTCTTACTGGGAAGTGATTCTGTAAATAAAATATGTTTAAAAATGATTTCTTTCGTGGCATGTTTGGTTTCTTGTATCTGTTATTCAGTTTTCTGTCAGCCAGAATACAAACAAAAGAGAGATTGTTATATTGAAATAAAAATAAATAAAACAACTCTGTGGCTTTCCAGTCTTCCTACACAAGGAAAACTTCACTGGTGACCTTTCCTCTGCTCCACACACTGGCTGTTTCTCAATGTCGAGGACGCTTGCTTGGTAGCACATGTCTTCCGAGTCACTTGTTTCAGAAGCTAGGCAAGAATCCTTCCTGGCATTCGGAAAACAAAGAGTGGAACAGGCGAGCAAGTGTGCAGGTGTGCGTCATATGAGAGGCCCCGCCTTACATTTTCCGCCACAGATTTGGGGAAATTGGTCCGTGCGCAAAGCATTGTGGGGATTTTAAGACCGCGGAGTCTACACATGTGCTGCCTCGAAATTTCTCGCTACGAAGTACGCCGGGCTCGGTAGAATTCCAAGTATGCTGGACATTGGAACAGTCCTTCGGCGCCACTCGATGACGTAGTATGCTTGAAATAGTGGCTCTGGAGCGGCCTTCCTCGACATTGAGAAACACCCACTCTCTCCACACACTATGGACTGTCCAATTAGGACATGATCAGTTGCATTAGCGTCAAATGGAAAAAACAAGCCTATAATCAGGTATAGTTAATTTACCTATAGTCATACAAAACTGGACAGGAACGATTCTTAAATTGTTGAGCTGGTGTAGATTAGTGCCGAGTGAGCTGCATTACAATTACAGTATAAAACTTCCAATAAAAACATTTTGACTGAAAGCAAACAGTAGATAAGTCATTTGTAAATGAGGGGTGCATTGATGACTTATTGACCATGAAGGTAGCATCTCCCTGCTTCCCTCGACACAAAGTAAACAGGATTTCTTTCTTAAAATAATCTCTCTGGCAAACACGTTTATGATACTTACACATTTTTTTCTGCAGGATAACCTCCACATATTAACACCACGTTATGATTTTTTAAGTGTAAATGCAATCTCATG